TCTAATATTATAGTTCCTTTCCATACTTTAAGCCCCATGAAGATTAGGGCATATCTTATATTTTTCTATGTATCCTTCAGCACCTAGTACAATATTTAATTATTGCAAGAATCACACTTTAATAAATCAAAAGACAAACATGCATTCAACAAACATTTACCTTCTGTTGGTCCAAGCATTATATCAAGCAACTTAAACAGATATGATAACCACACAGATAACAAAGGTCTTACAATGATAGAATTTAAGTGATGAAAGAAACCTGACAATTCTAATTTACTTTATGCTCAATGAAAAATACCATTTGTGGTATCATTTCCCTTTGTTTCCTACTTAACTTCAAAGAACCTACTGTTTCAACAACCTGACTAAAGCTTGCCCTGACAAAGTAACAGCGTTGTCAGTTTGTCAAAGACATAACACAAATGGCACTAATTATGTCTTTTGAGTACATACTGTGCTAAGGACTTCACAAATAACCCATTTCATGTTCACCACAAGCCTTTAGCACAGATACTATTATTATTATCTGGGATCTATTTTAAAGGTAAGGAAACTGAATCATGGACATTAAATAGCTTGCTCCTGGTCATCCAGATTGTAAACGGAGGAGCCACGATTCAGAGCTAAGTCTGTATGACTAGAGCCCAAGCTTCCTTTTGTTCAATCTCAGAACAGCGCCCTCATCCGGCTTATTTGGCAATTAATCTTGGGTGAAAAAAACTTTGTGTTATCACTTTATTGTCTTAAGCTTTTGTTTGCTTATGTTAATTATTATGTTTTTCATATGTTTATGTATTGTTTCTTGAGAGTTTACATATTTGTGTCCCCACCATTATTTTGCACACAGTTGAGGTTCAGTAAATGTTTGACAGACACTCGCTTCAACTTCCATTGAAGAGATACTATTTTCAAAGCAGCTTATTTCCCTCTTAGAAAGTTGTTCCTACTGATCAAATTTTATAAGTACTGTAAACAACTTAAAAATCATAGAATTCTAAAACATAGTATGTGTATTCTGTTGCCTTTGTTCTATGGCTGAGAAAATCTAAAGTTAATTGAATTGCCCAGGGTCATGAAGCTATTAACTTGCACCTCCATGGCCATGAACTCTGGTCCCTTGGGTCAATGTCTGGTAATATTATTTCAGATATTTGAAAATAGTTGACAAGCTCCTCTTAGTCCTCTTAGGCAATAATGTTTGAATTTTTTACCACCTTAGATAATCTTCTGGTTACAAACCAGTTTTTTAATGATAATATTAACAGACTCTCTTGTCTACTGCAAGGGTACAGAAGCATTCATTTATTACTAATAGCACTTTAAGTATAATCTTTATATAAACTAATCTTTCATTATTATTAGTTAAAAATGTATTTGCCTTATAGTTTGGTCATCTCACTTGGTAGTAATAGAACTATATCTTGCTGAAACCAGTTTGGATCAGTGGTAGAGCATCGGTCTGCAGACTGAAAGGTCCCAGGTTCGATTCCGATCAAGGGCATGTACATTGGTTGCGGGCACATCCCCAGTAGGGGGTGTGCAAGAGGCAGCTGGTCGATGTTTCTCTCTCATTGACGTTTCTAGCTCTCTATCCCTCTCTCCTCCTCTCTGTAAAAAATCAATAAAATATATTTTAAAAAATAAAAAATAAAATAAAACTATATCTTAAGGAAATAGTTAAAAAGAAGAAGAATTTGCTTTAAAATGGATTTAGAATAATCGCTACTTAGAAATGGCACAACATTTGTAGAATATGTGTAGAATAATATATACTTGTCATTGAATATTGTGATTCATCTTATCAGTTCACTTGATAAGAACTATTATCCACCCAGTTTCACTATTTTATTCACAAGAATATCATGGGAGATTATTAAAGGCTTTGAAGAACTAAAAAATATTATACATGATATTCTCTTCATCTACTAATATCAGCATTTCTCAACAATTTTTATCTTCTTTCTAAGAGGTCGCCTTGCCTGCATTATTGTTTCCTTCACTAAATTCTTTACCACACTATAGTTAGAGTGATCTAAACTCAAGCCCTCTTTTAACTGTCCTATTTCAAATACTTCAAAGCCCTCTCATTTTCCATAGAGAATATTCTTAACTTCAGTTCCAGGACTCCCAAGGACTTTAGGAATTTTATAATTCTGTTTCAAATTTTATAATTCTGATACTCTGAAAAGCATCATAAATTTGTATTAGATTATCATAAAGTAACTATGATTTTAATGCCTATATGTCACATATAAAATAAAGACAAATTTTCCTGAATATTTATATAAACCTTTTCATGACCTAATGTCTAAACCCCTAAGTCTCATCTCCTTCTTTGTCTCAGCCTTAAGTAACCACTACATTCATATATATGCATGCACAAAAACACACACATACACATAATAATAATAATGTCAAACTTCCCGTGGCTTCTCAAAATAAACATGTGAACAGAGCAAACATATGTCCACCTATGTACATGCTGGACCATCTTCCTTCTCCCCATCCTGAGATTCCAGTCATCCTCAAACCTCAGCCATCTTAACACCTTAATGAAACCTTCCCTGACCTAGCCACACATGAAGTGCTTTCATAGAACTTTGCTCATACCATTCTTAAAGCATTTATTAAATTGCTCTAATAATTTTATTGAAGATCTATCCCTTCACAAAAACCCCAATTCACAATCATAAGGTGGCTATGATTCTGATATAATGGTGAGAATCCAGCCCCCTTGCCAAGTTTTAACCAACAGCTAGGGAGACCATGCTATTTCAGGAGAATAACCTAGGATCCATTCAATAAATATCTGAACTAATGTGTGAACAAGTAAAATGAGCAACGCTATAACAAAATAATGGACTTCGTTTACATGTGCCTTTTTAATTTATAGATGTGCATAAACTTTACCTTTTCGTGACCCAGCAATGGATAATTTATTTACTAAAAGGTCAATGTAATTCAGGTTATGTTTTGTGGAATATGGAGGTCTCATAAAAGAAGTTCATATCATACTTCTCTCTAAATGTTTACAGTCTTATGGGCAGCAAAGACTTAGACATGTATAAGACTCACTATTGGTACTTTATTAGTTTACTTGCCCTCAAATGATGCTAAGTAGGAATACTTAGTCTGTAAAATGATATAGCCTTCAGAGCCTAAACTTTGCACTTAAATATATCTGAGTACCAATCTTAAATATTCTGTGTACCAGCAGTGCAAGACTGACCAAGTTGTATAAACTCTGAGCCTTGGCTATATCAACTACTGAATGGTAATGCTTCCTTCATATGTTTACAAAGATGATGTACCACACCTGGTAACTATGCAGCAAGTAATGGTGATGGTAGTGAATGGTCTTGATGGTGTTAATGCTGATAGTGACGTTAGCACATTGAACTGCAACTCCTTGAAGACAAGGATTTTCTTTAATTTATATTTGAATCCCAGCACCATAGTGCCTGATACATAGCAGAGAGTAAGCAGATGTTTCTTACTACTATAATCAGTTGCCAACTACTAGATATTAACAGCCAAGAGAAATAGAAAGAGACTAGCATGAGCTAGAATTATCAAGGAAAACTTTATTGAAGACAGAGATACTCAAAGGATATATTTTTTCATTGCCAGAGAACAAAACAGAAGTGACTCAGTTACTGAAGATAAAAGAAGCATAACATGCAGTCTGTGATGGGGCGGGGAAGAGTAAATGTCTTCCTTTGAAGCATTAGTGGGGGAATAATTAAATACTTTGTAATTGCTAACACTTTACTGTTCAGCACCAGACCTACATATTAACAACAAAGATGATAATCCCAAGCCTTGCTCCTTTTGGAAGCCTCACATTATGTCAAAACCATATAAGAAAATGTCTCATTTAAACAAACTGTATAACATAATAAGAAAAGCATGAGCTTTATAGGGCGGCAAATCTAGGTTTGAATTTTAGCTTTGCCACTCAACTAACTTTATTGTTTTGGGCAAGTCGCTTACCTCTTTGAGCTTTAGTTTTCTCTTCTGTAAAATAGGAACACTAATGTTTGCCCCACGGGGCTGATGTGGGATTGCATGATATTTTTGTGAGGTATCCAGTGCAGTGCCTGGTGTGTAATAGGCATTCAATAACATGTGTATTGTTGTTATTTTTAACTAGAGGACCAGTGCAAGAATTCGTGCATTGGGAGGGGCCATCCGGCAGACCTGCCCCAATAGGGGCTGATCAGGCCAGGCGGGGGGGGGGGGGGGGGGACGGGAGGGAGGGAGGGTAGGGAGAGGGACTATAGGCAGTTGGCCAGCTGGCCCTGCCCCCTGGTTGAACTCCTAGTCGAACTCCTGGGTTGAGGGGGCAATTTGCATATTATCCTTTTATTATGTATGAATTGATGCATTTATGTGTTTGTTCCAAGCCAAGGGGTACATTTTGGTTGTCCAAGTTTGGGACGTGTAAGCTTGAGCCTAGTTGATCTGAGAATAATTGGGAAATAATCCCAGATTTTTTTAAATGGGAAGAATCCAGAAAAGGACAAAGTGTAGCATTGTAATCTGTTACTGTTTGTGTCTTTAACATGAATAAATGCTAAAAGTGTTATGGGCCATTATGTAGGGTGAATGCTCAAATAAGAAGCTATTAATTTTCTTTATTAACTCCCTGCTGTACAAACTGTCATGCAAATACTGCCTTGTGCTTTATGCAAAACATTGAAACACCTAGGACTTTATTCTTCTGCTTGGATTTTTTTTCTGTAGTAAAATACATACTGAATTAATTTCAAGTGTGTTTGTCTGTAAACCAGCCAAATATCTCTTTTTAAATATTTGAGCTCTATGTTGAATATAGAGAGTTATGGTTCTTAGCATATTACCTTTTTTTTTTAGTAATAGATTACATTCTTCAATTCTTTAATATAGTTCCACATATATAAAATGTCTGTTATGCCCATATTAATGAAAACTTTTCATTTTATACAGGTTCCTCCAGGGGACCCAGTCCCCTGACCATGGGGGCCCAGGACACCCTCCCTGTTGCAGCAGCATTTACAGAAACGGTCAACGCTTACTTCAAAGGAGCAGATCCCAACAAGTAAGCTTGGGACTTAGTCCCCTGCATTCTCCACACTCTGCCTTATTCAGTGGAGGCTACCTTAAATACACCTACTTAATGCCTTGTCCTAGAACCAAAAGAAGTCCAGCAAACATGAACAATGGAAAAGAAGATTTAATTAGGGATATTAATTCATTGATATTTTTAAAGAATGTATTAAAAGATCCAATCTAATATCTTACTATCCAGAAATCTCTGACTTACTGTTGATTGCAAGTAATGGAATACCCTAACTCAATTCTGTCAGCAATGAAAAAATCTATTATGTCACAAATGTAAATGTCCAGATCATGTCTTCTGTTGCCCTTATCTTTCCTGGACAGGAATCTCCTGCATACAAACTAAAACAATGGTGCCTTGGAATGAGAAAGTGCGTGTGGGGGCGGGACAGTGGGGGGTGGGGGGGACGGGTTTAAACTTCCCATAACACCTGGATATGTAAGAGGGAAAGTTATATGTGACTCTTACTCTAAGTAAGGAAAAACTGGCCAGAAATAAATAAGTGAATAAATTGTAATCACAGCAAAATAAAACTTCTAGGGAAAAATATATTACTCTCTATTTACAAGAACCTTATTTCACTTATATCAGTACATAATTGATAAGTGACTTGACCAGAATGTATATGTAACATAACTAAATGTTTTGTCTCTATATAAGGAGTTTCACAAAAAGAGTTCAGGAAGTCTGTGGATTTCCTGAGATTATATTACTTACGTGTGTGCATATATGCATTTGTCCATAGAGAGGGTCTACAACATTAATTACTTTCACAAGGGGGTTCATGAACCACACACAGAGAGAGAGAGAGAGAGAGAGAGTTAATAGTGATTATTGTTCTATACTAAAAACTAAATACTTAAGTCAAACTAGATTTCATACTGTGTCACTAGTATAATTCAGATCTGAATTTGATGGATAAACAATGCAAACCTAAGTGAGGGCAATATTGATTTTTATTTTCCACTTGTGAGGATAAGGGCTGAGAAAACCTTAGTATCTATGGAAATAGCAGTAGGAGAAAAAAGTCAATGTGCATATAGAACAATAGGCTGTTTTTAAAATTTTTTGAAAACAGTGATAATTAACAATAATTAGAACTTTGCTTCCCACATGTATTTTAAGTAGGAATCTGTATGACTGATCATGAATTCTCTTTACACTTCAGAAACACTGGTTTTATAAGTCTAGGTATAAGACTATTACACTGGGAAAGTAATATAATTAGTAATTCCACCTTTTGGTGTCCTACCCAATCTCTTGGATCTAGTAACCACTCCTAAGTGTCATGTCTTTTTAAATATCTAGGTTTTATTCTAAGACCAGAGTATTGTAGAGAAGCAAACACTGTGGTATCTTAGTCCAATTGGGCTGCTAAAACAGAATACAATAGAGCAGGTAGTTTATTTCTCAATTCTGGAGGTTAGGAAGTCAAAGGTCAAGGAGCTGGCAGATTTGAGCGTCCAATGAGATCTGGCTTCCAGATTCATAGACAACCTTTTCCCTTGTAGCCTCACATTGTGGCAGGAACAAGGGAGCTCTGTGGGCTCTCTTTCTTTCATAAGGGCACTAACCTCATTTATGAGGGCTCTACCCTCATGTCCTAATTTCCTCCCAAAGGACCACCTCCAATGCCATCACATTGGGGATTAGATTTCAGTCTATAGCACTCTGGTTTATCCCAGGTCCTTTTTTTTTTTCATCTTCAAAGCAGGAAGTTCATCTATTACATCCTCATATCAATAGAAAATAGAAATTAAAAGCTACTTCATGCAGAGGTCTGAGTTTGAACTGTTGGAGCAAGGAAGTACCCTGAGTTTAAGTTTTATATATACTACATGGGATAAACCTGGGTGCTAGACTGAATGTTTACATTCCCCTGCCTCCATGCCCCAATTCATATATTGAAACCCATAAAAGCAGTCGAGCCAAATATTTAGTGCTTTTCCTATGCCTTTGATATGAACTGAGCCATTGACTTGTGGATGACTGCACGTATTGAGCTGTTTTTAATTATATTGCCATATATAGTTGCAGAATATACTATATATTGGTAGATAGGAGATATGGATCATTTCACTAAAATTATGAGATCTAAAATTTATGAACAGATCATGAAGTAGTGTTCTTTTAAATTTAATTTCTTCTCCATACGGTAAATCATTTTCATTGCTTTCCCTGTGTTACTCACTTTCAAGGAAGCAACTCAAGTTCAAAACTTTGATCATGGGGTGAGGAAGGAAGGACGAGGATAAAGCCAAACACAGCACCACATAGGGAATGATGCAGAAAAAAAATGTGGATTTGCTTTTTGTCTGTGGTTCCTTCTCATCCTGAATCAGAGCCTTTTCCGTGTGTTCAGGCCATACATTGGAAACAGAAATCTGTTACTTTATTTTTTACAATCCATTATGATATACAATCTATTCAAATATAGTTACATTTTTTTCCCTGCGTATTCAGAACACATGTGACAGGTATTCTGCCATCTGTGTCTTTCTCAATAGCTGGTAGACACAGAACTCCTTGATTTTTGCTGCTGGCTGTGTCAACTTCCACATGAAATCCCATTATTACCTCCTATTTGAACAAGCCTGGTACTAGGGATTAATTCTCTAATCCCCTAGAAAAAAAAAACGGGTTTCTCAGCTATATTCAGTCCATTCCTTATCATCATACTTCAGTTATTTATTCAAGTGTTTGTCTCCCTGTTTAACCTGGAGGCCTGGGGCAAGGGCCACATTTGTCCTGTTTTTTACTGTTCGTTCTAGTGCATTACATTATGTGGGGACGTTGAATGTGCACCATGTGCATAGCTGCACTAGGTTCTGTGTTATGTACCTTTGCCTTCCCAGAACCTAAGACATACTACTTGCCTTCACAATAGTAGGTATGTGCAAGAAACAACAAAATTTTCAAAAAAAATATGTACATATGTCCATGGAAACTTAGAGAAAGGGAAATTTAAGGAAGGTTAAATGGAGAAGATATTAAGGAAGGCTTCAGAAGGGTCTGCTTTTGAACTGAGTCTTGAAATGTGAAAAGGAGTTGGCCTAATACAGTGGTCAGCAAACTCATTAGTCAACAGAGCCAAATATCAACAGTACAACAATTGAAATTTCTTTTGAGAGCCGAAAACCGACTTCTGCGCATGGGCCACAAAGTTTCGATCACACTATACATGCGCATGGTATTTTGTGGAAGAGCCACACTCAAGGGGCCAAAGAGCCACATGTGGCTCACGAACCACAGTTTGCCGACCACTGGCCTAGTACCTAAGCCAATGGAAGGGGTTTATAAGGAAGAGAACCTGCTTATGTTCATTTGAAAAGAAGGCCATGGGCTTAGTTATCGGGACAATGCAAAGAAGTCACATTTAATGAAGATGCATTTCTGATGACCTCACATAAATCAAATCCGCGCATTCACTGGCCAAAACTGGCAAGTGTTTCTGTTGACCAGCTAACACAGTGCTTTCTATGGGAGGACCCAGTTTATAAGTCACTTGGCCAGGAGACTGAACTTTTGCCATTCTTCTCAAATGTTTCCTTTATAAGGACTCACATGATTTCAAAGAGTATTTATAAAGTAAGTTTGCTAATATTTCCATATTGCAGTATTTTAGATTTCCATAACTCAAATTCACATGAAATATAGTCACATTGTATGCTGATAGGAATAATCATTCAAGTTAAAGGTTTTTCTTTGGTGAATATTGAGAATATTAATTTTTACATAGAAATTTTCAGATCAACTTTGACATTGGATGGATTATTAAGTCAGCAAAAATCTGACTGACACTTGAGATGCAGTTCAGAAATGTTAGTGAGGAGATTTGGCGTCCTTATATTGCCTTGTATTGAAGACTGCCATTGCTCACTGTACACTGTAAACCCCTTTGAAGGCAGAGGCTGTTTTGCTCACATTTTAATTGCCTCCCCACTCAAAAAAATAAACTTACACAGTGAGGAATCAATAGATGTTTACTGACTTACGGAACACCACCTCCTCCCTTGCTGACTTGTTTCCAAGAGCAATTTTATCCCCCACCAAGCCACCACTTAGATCTCCTTTTGAGCAACCTGGAAAAGAAACTGAGCAGTTTTCCTATCAATTAAAAAGCATTGGAACCACCACTGCTAACAACAATATGCTGAGTGATGGTATGCATCAGAGTCTAATTTACCAAGTGCTGTAATTATTTTTTTATATATTTTTATTGATTTTTTTTTAGATAAGAGAGAGACATCGATCAGCTGCCTCCTGCACACCCCCTACTGGGGATGTGCCCCCAACCAAGGCACATGCTCTTGACTGGAATCAAACCTGGGACCTTTCAGTCCACAGGCTGACGCTCTATCCACTGAGCCAAACCAGTTTTGGCTCTAATTATTCTTTTCTCTTAGATTTATCAAATGATATTCTGCCTGTTCGCATATTGTAAGACATCAAGGGGAGACAGCTTGAAAGGAAATGCAGGCTCAGCACCAGTTTAGAACCATAAAATTAAGCAAAGCTAATGGATCTAAGAGATAGAGAGGAGAGGCGGCAGAGTGGGCACCCAAACTTGTGCTCAGCAATATTCTTCAGAAGAGATGGATGGAGGGACAAAATTCTCATTCAGAGAAGTGCAGAGTGATATGTGACAGTATCTGAGGGGAGAGGGTAGCATATGGCAAACCAAGAGAGTTCACCTGCTTTATGCATACAAGCCTATAGCACTTCTTCACATAAGCTATTTTGAATGTGGATCCAGGACTGTCCCAGCTGAGCTCCATGTGTCTCCTCATGCACAGTTATACAGTACACAGGATGATTATGGGGCAAATAGGTTTCCTAGACTCAAACGTGAGCAACATTTTCATTTGTTAACCTCAATTTTCCTAGAAAGTATATTCCTGAACTTAAAATTGTAGAACTGCTACCAGGTTCAGTTGTCCAGATGTATGGGGAAGTCATAAAAAAATTCATTTTATTTTATTTTATTTTATTTTATTCTATTTTATTTATTTTAAATATATTTTATTGATTTTTTTACAGAGAGAAAGAGAGAGGGATAGAGAGTTAGAAACATCAATGAGAGAGAGTCATCGATCAGCTGCCTCTTGCACACTCTCTACTAGGGATGTGCCCGCAACCAAGGTACATGCCCTTGACCGGAATCAAACCCGGGACCTTTCAGTCCGCAGGCCAACGCTCTATCCACTGAGCCAAACCGGTTTCAGCAAGTTCACCCATTTTAAATATTGACTCTTTCTCAAAGAAGAATAATTCTTTTGAGATGTGTGCTTCTGGCCAAGGTGGGTAACTGATTTACCCTTCCACTCGAAAATACCTCCAAAATACCTTGAAAGCACACGAAATATGTGAAACATTAATTTGCAAAGGACAATTACCCTGGAGAGGGTAGGGGTGCCATGTGATTGCCTAGCTTACCTCTCTAGGGTGTCCAGGCCACGGCCTGGGGAGAGCCCTGCTGATTCCCAGCTATTCACGGGGAAGTGTGTCACTGAGGCACACTCCACTGCAGAGTTGACTGAGCATGTGTCAGCAGAAGCTAATGGCCAGTAGATATTGCCACTGTTCACTGCAGGAGCTGGCTGTGGAGAAGGGCCATACATGGCAGGAGCCTGGAGCTGAAAGGCCCACTGCATTGCAGGACCTGGGCACTGGGGCAGCCCAGCTACATGCACTACAGGAGTCAGATGCTAAGGAAGCTTCTGTGCTATGAGGCACTAGCAAAGCCACATGGGCTGCGATACCCATGCTTGGAGGGAAACACATTCACTGCAGGCACCTGGCACTAGATAAGCCCTGTATACTGCAGGAGCCCGCCTAGCAAGCATGCTGGAACCAGGAGGAAAATCCCATCTTCCTGCAATGTCTTTCCAGCGCCCTCTAATGACAAAGCTTAACATGGTGCCTGTTGGCAGAGAAAAAACTTATGAAGGGTCCATTATAATTTTTTTTTTTTTAGATCAGCAGTACAAGGTGAATTGGAGCTACATTGATTTTATGTGGAAGTTGACACAGTAATTCTAATTTCATATGGAAATGCAAAGGACCTACAATAGCCAAACAAACTCTGAAAAAGAAGCGTAAATTTGGTGGACTAACACTACTTGATGTCTATAATAAAACCATAGTATAAAGACAGTGTAGTATTGATATAAAGGGCAGACAAAATAGATCAATGGAACAGAACAGAGAATCCAGATATAGGTCTACACATATAGGCACAACTGAACGTCAACAAAACTGCCAACTGGAGAAATTGAGTGAAGAAAGGACTATCTTTTCTGAGCAGGTGGTGCTAGAACAGCTAGATATCCACAGCCACATACTAAACGTGAACCTGGGTCGGCCACCATGTTCCTCGCCTTTCAGCCTCAGTGACAGTTGGTCAGAGGAATTTGGGGCCATGAATCTGCTAAGCAGAGCCAAGTCCTTCAAGAGATTTTATTCCCTCAGAGTTGAGCCCAAAGTAAAGGCCATGACTGCCCCTGCAGGAGGGCCTGTACATCCCCAGGACCTCGACTTTACCAAATTACCAAATGGCTTAGTGATTGCATCTCTGGAAAATTATGCTCCTGCATCAAGAATTGGTTTGTTCATTAAACAGGCAGTAGGTACGAGGACTCTCATTTGCTTCGTCGTGCAGTCCAGTCTGACTACAAAAGGAGCATCATCTTTTCAGATAACCCCTGGAACTGAAGCAATTGGTGGTAACTGAAGTGTGACTTTAACAAGGGAAAACATGGCCTACCTGTGGGATGCCTGCAGGATGACATGGAAATTCTAATGGAGTTCCTGCTCAATGTCACCAAAGCACCTGAATTTTGTACTGAAGGGAGGTAGCTGCCCTTCAGTCTCAGCTGAGGGGTGACAAAGCTGTGGCTCTTCAGAACACACAGGCTTATATTGAAAGTCTGCATGCTGCAGCTTACCAAAATGCCTTGGCTAATTCCTTGTGTTGTCTAGATTGTAGGATTGGAAAGGTGACACCAGATGAGTTGCATCACCATGTTCAGAACCATTTTACAAGTGCAAGAATGGCTTAGGTTGGACTTGGTGCGAGTCATCTGTTCTGAAGCAAATTGCTGAGTGGTTTCTGAGCACGAGGGGCGGGCTTGGTTTATCAGGCGCAAAGGACAGATACAGGGAGGCGAGATTCAAGAGCAGAAAAGAGACCGTCTTGTTCATGCTGCCTTTGTAGCAGAAAGTGCTGCCACAGGAAGTCCAGAAGCAAATGCATTCAGTGTCCTCATGTCAGGCAAGGCAGCAGCGCCAGCAGCCCTCCGTGCCAAGCTGCTGCCAACGGGATTCACCAGCCATTTGATATTTCTGCTTCTAATGCCAGTCACTTGGACTCTTTGGGATTTATACTATCTCGCAGGCTGCAGCTGCTGAAGATGTTATCAAGGCCGCCTACATCCAAGTCAAAGCAATTGTTCAAGGAAACCTTTCCAGGACAGATGTCCAGGCTGCAAAGAACAGGCTGAAAGCTGGGAACCTAATGTCAGTGGAGTCTTTTGAAGGTTTCCTGGATGAAGTCAGGTCTCAGGCTCTCATTACTGGCTCGTACGTGCCACCATTCACAGTCCTTCAACAGATTGACTCAATAGCTGACACGTTATAGATACTACAAAGAAGTTTATTTCTGGCCAGAAGTCAATGGTAGCAAGTGGAAATTTGGGGCATGCACCTTTTGTTGATGAGTTATAAACCTGAAACATTGTAGGAAAGAGCTGGACATTTTCTCAACCCATAGCAGCAAGCACATGAAAATCCCACATCTATAATGTAATATTTGTCTTGGTTTTCAATGAGGTGAAATATCTTAAAAAGTATAAATGCAGGTAATTATTCCTGCTGACCTAAAGTTAATAAAACATTTTAAGTGTTTAAAAAAAAAAGAGTGAATCTGAATCCATACCTCACATATTATACAAAAATTGACTGAAATATCTTATATAATAAAGAGGTAATATGCAAATTGACCCTCACACCGTCATGTCACAAGATGGCTGCCACCACGTTGTCACAAGATAGCTGGAAGGGAAGAGCAGTTGGGGGTGACCAGGCCTGCACGGGAGGACAGTTGGGGCTGATTGGGCCTGTAGGGGAGGGCAGTTGTGGGCAGTCAGGCAAGCAGGGGTGACCAGGCCAGCAGAGGAGGGCAGTTGGTGGAGGCCAGGTCAGCAGGGGAGGCAGTTTGCCGAGACCAGGACTGAAGGGGAAGGCAGTTGGGTGGGGGACAAGGCCTATAGTGGAGAATGGTTTGGTGGGACCCAGGCCTGCAGGGGAAGGCAGTTGGAGGGGACCAGGCATACAGAAGAGGGAAGTTGGGGAGAAATGGAGGAACCAGGCCTGCAGGGGAGGGCAGTTGGGAGGGCCAGACCTGCAGGGAAGAGCATTTTGGGGGGACCAGGCCTGCAGGAGGGCAGTTGGGAGCCTGCAGTCCTGGATTGTGACAGGGATGTCTGACCGCCCATTTAGGCCCGATTCCAGAAGTTGGACATCCCTCAAGATGTCCTATATTGGAGAGGGTGCAGGCTGGGTTGAGGGACACCCTCCCCCCCCATGCACAAATTTTGTGCACCGGGCCTCTAGTCTATACTAATAAAAGGGTAATATGCTAATTAGACCAGGTCAACTGATCATCTTCCAAATATCTGACTTCCTTCCAGACAAAGTCACGGTGGTGGGGGCCGAGGCAGAAGCAGTTAGGGGTGATCAGGCCAGCAGGGAGGGCAGTTGGAGGCAAGATCAGGTTGGCAGGGGAGGCAGTTAGGGGCAATCAGGCAGGCAGAGGCAGTTAGGGGCTAACAGGCAGGCAGGCAGAGAGGTTAGGGGCAATCAGGCAGGCAAGCAGGTGAGCAGTTAGGAGCCAGTGGTCCCAGATTATATAATAAGAGGGATGTCCAGTTGGAGAGAGTGCAAGCTAGGCTGAGAGAACATCCCCTCCCCCATGTACAAATTTCATGCACTGGGCCACTAGTTTATATATAATATGTCAATTATATCTCAATAAAGGCCTTTAAAAAAGAATTATTCTTCCTTGAAAATAATCATCCTACTGTGTGAACTTATATGTTAACTGATGTAACAATTTCAACCAAGTAGATAAGTTAATGGAATACAGATTTGTTAAGTCAGAAGCTTAAGTTTACCTCAAGGGTACATGAAAGAACATGCTGAATGCATCAATCATGTCCCTCAGAGAACTAAAATAAGACCCAGTGAATAATGTGATAGCATTGTGCAATTTAATATCTTTGAATATGCTGTCAAAACTTCAGAAATCAAAGAGTGAGAGAACGAATCATCAAAATAGATGATTCTATTTGTAATGGGAACACGTAGATTCTTCTACACAAGAAAAGCTGCACTTTTCTTCTTCCAGTTTTAAAAGACATTCAGTGGAATAGCCACTCTCTTTTTTGGATAACTTTAAAACAAACCACTGAGTCTTAAAAATGATTTATATTGAGAGTGGAATTACAAGAGCTTACCTTTCATCTGTTGCATAAGTCTGTTCTTTTTCACAACTGTTTTGATTCACAGCATACTGATCTGTGCTTCCTCTCTTTCCTCTCACGTGTTTTGATATGCCAGATGTATCGTGAAGATTACTGGAGAAATGGTGTTGTCCTTCCCTGCCGGCATCACCAGACACTTTGCCAACAACCCATCACCAGCTGCCCTGACTTTCCGAGTGATAAATTTCAGCAGGTTAGAACACGTCCTGCCAAATCCTCAACTTCTCTGCTGGTAAATATATTTTGCACAATTTTTTAGAGATGTGTGTAGCTTAGCACTTCATTCTCAGATACGGGAGGGATAAACCTTAGCAATTACTGCTGCTCAGATATGTGTGTAGATTCAAACTCAGAACTTTTACAGCTGCCCAAGTGTTTTGTGATTGACTGTGCATCTGTGCACATATGTGTTTTAATGGCCCATTATCTCAAGTGGCTGGGAAGAGATTTAGAGTAATAAAATCTCTATTAATGACAACTTATTTATTGTCCGTTTTACTTATCATCAGTAGACAATGGATAAGGATGGTGGAAAATGAATCCAATAAAAGGAATAAAATGTTACTGTATTAGAATCTTTAAAGTCAAATGATATTTGAATTGTGCGTTACTCTTCACATAAACATGAAAATCTTTTCTGTGAAACATAATTACATTGACATGAGTGCCTCTGTTTAGTATACTGTGAAAGTATGACCTACAGTTTAACACTGACCTGGACTGGAATCCTGACTTCCATACCTATTAGCTATTCCAGATTAAGCAAAACTACTACATTTCACTGACTCTCCATTACTATCTGCTGTCTTGCTGTGTAGCTACAGCTCTGGAAGCTCTAGGTTGCTTGGATGTTTTTAGATAATAAAACTTTAAACAGCCTGAATCAGCATCTTTACCTCAGATTGATTAGAGGCAAAGTCTCGGAGGCCAGAATTCTCTTCCTACATGCCCCGAGTTACATAGCTTTATTGTGTCCTCAACTGCCTAGACCAGGGCCCCGCAGAACCACATAGATCATGCTGAGACTTGGCTACCCTCCCTACCCAAACTACTCCCTCTGAACAGAACAGTAGCAGTTTCAAGGCGCTGATTATTATTATTTTACTTTTTTTTTTTTTATGGAGCTGTTCTGATTTGTTAGACTTCTGACAGCTTACTTGTGACCTGCCTTTATAACATTATCACTGCCACTCTTCTGTTTTCTTAGTCTCTAATTTTCTCTTTTTATAACATTTGCTCATCCTTCAAAAGGAAGATAATTCTCCCTTTACAGATAGATTTTAATGAAATGTTTCTAAGGTGTCTAACAGAGTGCCTGGCACATAATAGGTGCTCAAAAAATGATAACTGCTGTTTGACATAGAATATCCTGAAAGTGAAATGTCATTAAACTTGAGTTGTATGTCCAGTTTCTGAATCACTTGGGTTTTCAGTTTCCTCATTATGTGGGAAGTGAGAAAATGCTTTTCACATGCTTATGTGACTTTTGTCATTGATAAGAGCATTTTCAAGATATATTAGGTGGGTCACCTGTGGGCAGACACCTGAGCAAAGCTAATGCTTCTCATAAGAATACAAAACTCCTCAGTTCATCAAGACTGTGCTTGTCTAGTGTAACTACCATGGTAATTATCATTTAAATTACAGGGTCATCTTGTAAGAAAAGAGACTTTTTTATGACTTAGATGCTCTTAGGTGATATATTGTGAATGCTAAAAAGATAGCTTGGTAATTTTACTATCATCATTTTTTGCCGCAGTTGGCAACAAAGACATATGACCAAATATTTAACTCAATAATTTCTGAGATACTACTGTTCAAGTCAATACAAAAAAAAAAAAAATCAATGGATTCAGCTATTTGATTGCATTAACTAACTAAGTCAGAGGAAACTGGTGAAGTATAAAGAGCTATTAAGTTTGGATTAATAAATAATTCACTCTTTAAAGCAATCAATTATCATTATGATTGGTTAATACTACGGAGTACTCACTGAGATTTATAAAACTGCAATAATGCCTTTCTGTGGGTGTTAATCTATTAACTTAATACTATTCAGAATTACAATTGACTTGAAACCATATTATTGTTAATAATATAATCTACAAATTGTCAAAGATGGATGTAGAAATCAGACTGCAATTTACTAAGATGATTCTTTGTGTCAGGATGATAATAATTTTTTTCTTTCCAATTGAATAGCGATAATACCCAAAGTGATGCCAATAGCAAGGAATTCTGGGTAAACATGCCAAATTTGATGACTCACCTAAAGAAAGTGTCTGAACAAAAACCCCAGGCTACATATTATAATGTGGACATGCTTAAATATCAGGTAAGCCTATTATATGGCCAAGGTGTGGTTTTTACATTACAAATGTATATTCTAACATACCTAGCATTAAATAAAAGTAAATAAAATAACATTTCTTTTAATATTATTTAAAAGCTAAAATTATAAGAAAATAGAAATTTTAAGATTACTTGCAGACTTAGTGACAAGAATATTAATACATATTCTTACTTTAAACTTACAAGTAAAACATTTTATTTAAATATTAGAAAAACATGCCACAAAATGAAGTTGCAGAAAATTACATTAGTTAAGATTATAAGTATTGATAAGCTTGTTCACTGTATTTTATTAAGAACATTACTAAAACCTCTTATTTTAAATTGTTAAATGTAAGTACTCTGGTGTTTTTTTCTAATGTGGTAGTCCTGTGAAATAAATTCTATTAAAATTCCTGGTAAGAAATAATTTGATGTTAAAAGACTGGTTGGTACAACACAATATAGTATAAAAGAATTTTCTTCTTGTGTCCAGGATTGCCCTCCTCCCAAATCATTACTGGCTTAGTAAATAAGCTTTCAAACCAGGATTATGTATAACCTGAGTACCTATCAATTCCCAGTCACTTTATCACCTAGGTTATCTTTAATGTATTACAATTTTTGTCATTAAATATGTTCAAATTATTTTTCTTAAGATAAGGAAAAAACATTATTTTTAAAGTTGTATTTTACTAGAAATTGGTGCATCTTAAACCTAACTCTATAATCACCAGAGAGCTTGTAAATGAATACTGGTTCTGAACTTGTGCTAATTATATATAGACTTTATAAATATATATAGGCCCAGTGCAAGAAAGCTGTGTGTGTGGTGGGGAGTCCCTCAGCCCAGCTTGAGCCCTTTCACAGTCTGGGACATCCTTAGCACTGCTGTGGAGGCGGGAGAGGCTCCTGGCACTGCCGCTGCGCTCACCAGCCATGAGCTGGCTCAGGGCTTCTGGCTGAGCAGTGCTCCCCCTGTGGAAGTGCAATGACCCACCAGGGGGCAGCTCCTGTGTTGAGCATCTACTCCCTGGTGGTCAGTGCATGTCATAGCGACTGGTCAACCAGTCAACTATCTGCCCCCTGGTGGTCAGTGAATGTCATAGCAAGTGGTTGAGTGGTCTTAGCATATCAGTAGCATATTACACTTGGATTGGTTGAATGGACAACCAGATGACTGGACACTTATATTAGGCTTTTATTATATAGAATATACATAGATATCTACAGTAAAATCTATTTGTAAATATAGAACTAGATAAAGAGATGTGGACACAGACACAGATACAGACATAGACGTCTACTGGACCCTGAAACTTGTGGAGATTTTGACTTTATTGGTTCAGGGTATGACCCATATATCTGTATTTGTCTCAAGTTCTCCAAGTATTTATAATACACCCTATAGATTGAAAAGCACTCATAATATCATAAGGAAACCATTGAAAGTGAAGTGTGTATATATATATATGATTTTTACAAAAACGCAAACGAATTTGTTTTTTCTGTAAGAATTGGATTGTCTAAGCTTATTATCAACTAGAGGTCCAGTGCATGGATTAGTGCACTGGTGGGTCCCTTGCCTGGCCTGTGCCCTCTCACAATCCAGGACCCCTCAGGGGATGTCAAAGAACCAGGTTTGGCCCCATCCCCACAGGCCAGGCCGAGAGACCCCCACTAGTGCACAAATCCATGCACCAAGCCTCTAACATGCGTGCAAGATTTTTGCTTAATCTCTTCCTGCCCTCCCCCTTCTCCCTTCTCTCTGAGATTCATTGGCCTGTTCCATGTTTCCATACCTGTGGCTTCTGCTCCTGGGTTGAGCATCTGCCCCCTGGTGGTCAGTGTCCATCAAAGCTACTGGCCAGCTGAATGGTCGGCCAGTTGGCCGGTTGCTTGGCTTTTATATATATAGACTAAAGGCCCGGTACATGAAATTTGTGCACAGGGGGGAGAAGGGGTATCCCTCAGCCCAGCCTGTACCCTTTCCAATCTTGGACCCCTCAAGGGATGTCCGACTGCCCGGTGGGATCAGGCCTAAACAGGCAGATGGACATCCCTCTCACAATCCAGGACTTCTGGCTCCCAACTGCTCGCCTGCCTGCCTTCCTGATTGTCCCTAACCACATCTGCCTGCCAGCCTGACCACCCCCTAACCACTCCCATGCCAGCCTGATTGATGTCTAACTGCTCCCTTGCCAGCCTGTTTGCCCCCAACTTCCCTCCTCTGCCAGCCTGGTCATTCTTAACTGCCCTCCCTGCAAGGTTGATTGCCCCCAACTGCCCTCCTTTGCAGGTCTGGTGCCTCCAACTCCTCCCCCTGCTGACCATCTTGTAGTGGCCCGGTTGTGTCCACATGGGGGCAGGATCTTTGATCACATGGGGGCAGCGATCTTGTGTGTTGGAGTGATGGTCAATCTGCATATTACTCTTTTATTAGATAGGATAGAGGTCTGGTGCATGGGTGGGGGCCAGCTGGTTTTCCCTGAAAGGTGTCCGGATCAGGGTGGGTGTTCCCTTGGGGCATGGGGCGGCCTGGGCTAGGGTAGGGGCCTGTGGTGGTTTGCAGGCCAGCCACATTCTTCATATTTATTATTAAGTGAACTTAGAAAATAGATAGAATCACCTATTGCAATATGAGTTTAGAGTGTAAATATTAACATTGGCAAGAAACTGAATTCTGGAATTAAGTCCCCTTCCTACTGGCCACTGACCTTGGGCACTTCATCTCCCAGGGCCTAAGTTTCCTCCTCTGCAATTAAAGATAATAATGATTCCTACCTAGATATTTTATAGGTTGTATGAGGAGCTCATTGTATTTCAAAGTATAATACTTTGGAAAAGATAAGTGGCCCTAGGCCTGTTGTTCTGTGTTAAAGTGTGCTCTGAAAAATCTCTTGTTGAATTGTGTTGTTTTCAATTATGCAAGGAATTGGGTGGGAGGCACAACTAGTGTTTCTTGTGGGATTGCCCTCAAATTGCAGCATGTTTAGTTTCTGGTCACCAGTATCGTCCCCCAATAATAAGGACAATGAAAAACACACCCTCACTTAGCCGCAAGCACCTGGCTGATAGAACCACTCTGAAGCTGGAACTGCTGAGGGCAGAGTGCAGAAACACCGCTTTTGATCTGTCTTAACTGATAAATTTTTAAGTAAAAGTTCATTTGCAGAGGATTGTGTTGTTAAAAATATTTAAAATTTAAAAAATCATAATGATTATCTAACTGAAATTGTCCTCAAAAGCCATGCCTGTCATTTTGTTTAAAAAACAGCAATGACCCATTTCTGGGCTTGGTTCTGCAGCAGCCACTCCTGCCTCAGGCCACTTCACCATGGTGTCCGTATGTGCAGACATTGCAAAGTCAATAATGAGCTGTTTATAGTTTAAAAAATCAGCAAAACTCATACTCCATCACTCAAACTGCAAGGGCATAGACACCACCCGCTCGCTCCTGCAGTGTGGCGTACTTAGAAAAGGGAATTTCCTAGCGCTATTCATTGTCACATTGAACAATCAAGGAATAATAACATTGTGGATTTTTTCATTGTGGACCTTTAAAACTCAAGTTGATATTATTGGCTTTAGATAAAATATATTTTAGTTGATTCTTCAAACCTGGTTTTCCCTTGGTCAGACTCACAGCTGATTCTAACTAGAATTGACAGTAGACAGCTGAATGCTGCACTTCCAGTTAGAGGACCAAGTCCTTATTTTGACAAATCCGAAGAGTAACAGGTTTGCTTTGTCTAATTCACTGGTTTGTTGTGAAGGGCAAATATGAAAAGAATATTAATAGGTAACATTAAATAAAACACTGGTCACAGACTCTGTGCCAGGCCCTTTGCTGAGTGTTTCCCATGAACATCTTCAATCTGCCCAATAAATCTATGGGTAATTGTCATTGTTGTTATCATTCCCATTTGGCAGATGAGGATATAACTAAGGCACAGAGAAGTTTAGTAACTGGTCCAAGATCACTCAGCTTGTAACTGACAATGAGAACTCACATCCTAGCCTGTCTAACTCCTGGGCCTCAGCCCCTAACTTCCTTAACTGACATAAATTGTATTCTAAACTCCACAGTGCTAGAGAGTTTAGTCCTTGGTTTTATTTTTTAATCTGTAACAACTTCCCCAAAGCACCAGCTCTCCCTTCTTACATGGCACCCTTCATGGCAGTTTTCACTGAGAGCTCATCTATCTGTGAGCAGCATAAACAGCATGATGACGTTTTCATATGTAAGAACATTCCTATGGGAGATAATCCTAGCTTCTGGCTTGTTTCCGATTAATGGTGGAGGCTTAACTCTTCTCTATCCTGGCATTTGGCAAGGTGTCCGCCCAGGGCATTCAGTCCACACCTCTGAACCTGGCAGTGAGCTGGCGGTGTGAGCCCACCAGCACCGACCTGCGCATAGATTACAAATACAATACGGATGCAATGACAACCGCAGTGGCCCTCAACAATGTGCAGTTCCTGGTCCCCATCGATGGAGGAGTAACCAAGCTCCAGGCCGTGCTCCCCCCGGCAGTCTGGTAAGGAGGCCCAACCCACTTCTGCCTCCCAAAGAGCTCCTCTGCAGAGGGGCCCCTGACTTCTCAGCATTTGTTTCCTTCTGGAGACCTCAGCAGGCCTGTGTGTCAGACTCAGGGAAAGAAACAGAAACCACCGCAGCTATTTTAAGCAGAAATGGTTTAGCGCAGGGATTTGGATGCCCACACATACATGGTGGAAGGACTAGAAAAACAAGCTTTAGGCTGATCTCCAGGAATGTTTCCTGGAAGACGTAGCATCGGCCGGCAGAGGAGCAGCTCACCTCAGCCATAACCAAGAAGGAACATCAGGAGGCTGCCAGGGCGGCCACTGAATTTAAGAACCCCCACTGTCTCTCAGGTGAAGGACGAGGAAGCTCCTACCAGCTCTACCTTAACTGCCTCTCAACACCCACAAACTGCAGGCTGGACTGGAGCACTGTGGTCACATCCCCACATCTCAGGTTGCTGGCAGCAGAAATCAGCCAAGAAAGCAGCAGGAGAAAGGCCTCTCTCCCTTCTATTCTGATCTCATGCAGTGCATGTGGATGGTGAAGTCTAACCTGCACCCATGGCCCTAAACACAAGGGAGTCTGAGCAGTGGAGGGTTTTGCTTTATAGCCTCTAAGAACAGAGACTGAATAGGCGCTGAGTAGCAATGGCAGCTCCTAGAAAAAATGTTCTGGGTTTTCCATATGATTGTCAAAGGCAGAAAATGGAACATTTTTTAAAAATGAATGTCAGTCATATAACAGCTCCAATGTCAATGACCTGAACTGATGAACTAGCCCTTCTCATCTATCTTTTCAGTAGATGTGTTTTGAAAACTTAACTGTATTGGCCTATAAATATCTATCCGATAGTGTTGTGGCCAGTTACAAAAAGGCACAGGAAAGGAGAGAATTTATATGTGGATAGAGAGATAAACAGATAGATAATGTTTAAATTATAGCTAGAATCTTCAAAATCCTTTGTTTAAAATTTAACACTATCTGGGGAAAAAAATAAGGCATCTATTAAACAAAAAAACTCGCATATGCAAAAGTCCTTTACCAATTTTATTTTTAGGAATGCTGAACAACAAAGAATATTGTGGAAAATTCCTGATATTTCTCAGAAGTCAGAAAATGGAGGTAATGTCATCACATGCTTACTTTATTTAATATCTGAGGCTGAAATAACTTGCAGGTATCAGGTAACTTAACCTAAATACACTTTATTCTAAAAGCAAGCAAAATATGTCACTGCATTTTGGTATATATGTGTTTCAACCAATAAAAGCAAGTAATTCTTCAATGAATCTTCTGTTTCCCCTTTTTTGATCCAAGCCCCACATCAAACAGACCGTATTTTCAGCACACACAAAAAAGAGACCTTTTAACTAGGCATATTTCCACTCTGTATCAGCTCTCACACTTCCTGATAGTTTAGATGTTTTACTTTCCTCTGATATTAATCATAGGTTGGAGAATACATTGCTTTTTTAATACTGTTTGGCTGAATTACACTTGAGTCTGCATGCAGGAGAAATCACTCATCATATGTAATGATAAATCTTATTCATCACCATTTTGTCCCTGAAACATATACTATTTTCTAACAAGTTAGATTTTGTATATTTAATTTTGAATACAGTTTCTAAAATCATATCCAGAATGTGGTGTTGACTGTTGTCTTGCAATTATATAATACTCTTTTCATAGGTGTGGGTTCTTTATTGGCAAGATTTCAATTATCTGAAGGCCCAAGCAAACCTTCCCCATTGGTTGTGCAGTTTACAAGTGAAGGAAGCACCCTTTCTGGCTGTGACATTGAACTTGTTGGAGCAGGCTATCGATTCTCACTCATCAAAAAAAGGTTTGCTGCAGGTAAGTGAGTTTCGTTTGCAAAAATAATGTTGCCTCAGCAACTCTTCCTTCCGAAGAAAAAGTCTGTGATTTCCTCATCTTTTCTCTACTCCTCTTTCCCACTCCCAACTCCCAATTCCAATCTCAGTAGAAAGCAAACCAATTGTTGAATGAAGAAAAACCATGACAGTGGACTGAAATTAGAAATTAGGAAAGCCCTGGATACTTATGCCCCTGGCTCTGGTTTTGTTTCTGAGGTGGAACTAATTAATCATTCCCATTATATAGATGTATACACTGAGGTTAATGAAGTAAATCCTACTTTTGTTACATTGACAACAAGCAAGGTAAATGTTATTTGCTTTGTATTTCTTACCTGAAAACTTTTCTTCTCCAATCTTCATAGATTTTAGACGAGTCAGGCTTAGCTGAGATTTTAGTGGCTCCATTTCCCTCTTTAACAGCAATCTTAAAGAATCTACCTGAGATCCGACCTTGTTGCCCATGAGCTGATGTGACCATGAGATGGGTTTTGGGCACACAAGGTCATTTGTTGGCAGGGAATTCCCCAGCACTGGGGTGACTGTACCTGTCAGTGATTTGTTGGGATAAATTCTGGGTTTTGTGCCTGCTATAATGACATAATTACTAATTACACTCCTTTCACTCTCAGAAATGACCCAGATTGGAAAGTAATTATATGGCCACTCTTTCTGCAATAAGATGGATTCTCACATCCAGGAATAAATCTCCCAACCTATTCTGAGCAAAACAAAATTTGTGAAAAAATGTTTATATATGGAAATGTAAAAAGGCAACTAGCTGGTCTGGAAAATTAAGAGCCCAAAAAATGTGTTATGTCTTATAATTAGTATTACAGACATCAAATATGCATTATTTGGCTCCTAGGGTTAAGGTAGGAAGAATAGAAATGTTAACCATTTAATAATCACATTATTGATTATTATATAGTAGGTAACCTGTTGGTATGTATTTTGTTTTACAGGAAAATACTTGGCAGACAACTAATAAATCTTGTGCAAGGATTTGGAAGATTCCTATAGTGGAGAACTGTTTATGAGAAACAGGTTTCAATTTTGATTTGATGAAAACAAATCAAAATCTTCACTTGGGATAAATCTGCTGGAAATGCCCATGACTTTTCAGCAGTGATTTCCCTCACACAATACCATGATGACCAGTCCTACAGTATTTACTTCTAGGTGTAATATTGTTATGGTTTTAAAATGTAATTATTGTATTTGTAAATTGTACTCATTCTAGTAAAGCAGTTAGACACTTGAGTTTTAGCATTTTACCACTCCTGAAATGGATGTAATTTAAACTGTGGTATGTAAATTTAATAGTAGTACTGTTGAATGTCACAGTGCTTACAGAGGTAGGTTGAATTTTGTCAATATATAAAATTTAAATATAATATTGATAGTTATCACAAAGGGGGTGCCACATACAAAGGAAATCAAGTGGAACCAGAAAAAAACTTTTTTTCTTTCAGTTCTTAGTATGTTTTATTCTAGTGCTAAATAAAAAATTCTATCTTCAAATGTTTAGTGGGTTAAATTCAGAAACTATTTCAGAAAAAAATTCTAAGGTTACAGCATATTCAAAGAAAAGCATTAATTAACACTTTTTAAAAAAGCTTTTTTTTTCAAACTGCAAATTTCATAAAAATGCAAACTGTGTAAACAGGGCCTCTTATTTTTATAACTTGTGTAAAAAGGGAAAGCAATTCATATTTAAAGTTTAAGTATATGAAATTATAATTAAGAGTAAAGGAGATATTGACATCTTAACTACTTCCCTCTGTCTACAGCTTAACAAATGTAGAGATTGTTGAATAATCCAGTCAGACTAAAACCAAAGTTGTGATTTTAAAACTTCAAGACTCTCCATAGTTGAGCTGGTTCGCAACTTTTGCACAGTTACTCTAAACAGTTTCTCCCACAGAGCATGGAGAACGGTTCCACATATCTTCCTCTTTACCCATAGGAATCAAAATGTTGAGACCAAAAATCTCATTTTAAAAAAAATGTTTGACCCCTATTTAAATTCAGAAGGAGAATTTTAATCACAATTGTTTGTAATATTTGGGAAGGAAAAAAAACAAGCTTTATCAAAGAAGTTCCACATAACTGTGTAATAAAGTGCTTTTAGATAAAATTCATTGTATGAAACTATAAATCTTTGCCATTTTGGGGGGAATCAAAAAGAGTTATAAAAAATGTATTATTATTTTATTGTTGCAAGGTATAAACAAGTACTCCGTTGGGCCTCACAATGTGGGAATTCAGAATAGAGAAGCACTTCAGGGATCCCAGTTACAAAACCTTCCTTCGTTCCGATCTGAAAACACAAGTCTTCCTTCAAGTCATAGAACTTATTTTAAACATGGACAATTTCGTGTTCTAGGTTATACTGTTAAATAACTGTGGTTGTAAGTTGATTTATTTATCATTAGTTGCTAAATTTTACTTTACATTTACTCATATTAGACAAAGCCCCTTTAAATTTTAGAATCTTACTCTTAAAATGAGATTGTGACTGGCAGTTGTTTACAGTGGAACTTTCTAAATTGGTATTTGTACTTCTCAGTCAGTCAGTGCTAGCTACCCAGAGGATGTTCAAAGTGATCTGCTTTGCATTAGAAGGATATTCTCAATTGGCTTCTCAAGTCTTGTGTTGAAGTTTTTTAAACAAGTAACTAATATACTCATGTTATGTAAAGATATTCTATTTGATTTTGAAACCAAAAGAGAAAATGCAGATTTTTAAATCATATGAAATGTAGGAAAATTTCGAACACTAAAACCAATGGAAGATAAACTGCAGAAAACTGAGAATTATCCAGCATATAAATATAAAAATGTGTTTAAAGTCATCAGTTTGTGAAAAAACATATTGAAAATTAGCACAAAACATATTAAATGTGTAAATATTACTGTTCTCATGTCTTGCTCTTTATATTTTATTTGGTTCTGGAGTGAATTGGTCGTTAAACACAGGATTTTTTGTCAATAAAAGAATGATTTTGTTGATATTTTTTAAATGTAATTTAAAACATAGATTACAATAATCTCTACATTATTCAAATGCTTCCAGGAACTAAAATTTTAAACAATGAAGATATTCTATGATCCCTTAAAACAGTCTTTGTAAAACAGAATGAAAGTCGGTGATTTCAGAGTTACTAAACCTTGAATAACCAGAATCTCAATAGAGAATATATCCCTTCTAGTTCATAAAATAAGTTAAGTAATAACAAATTCATATGAGGGAGATTTGGGTGTTTTTCTTTTACTCTTAAAGTTTATATTCTCCTTTTACACCTGTACCATTAGTACTGTGCAATGAAAATTAATGTTAGAAAAAATAATCCAAGACAATGCAAGAGTCTCTGTTATAAAAGAAACATTAAGCCAGGTTCATTATCCCTAAAGCAGAACAATATGGCTAGTACATATTAATATTTTTCAATACTGTGGGCTAAAATGAAAAAAAAAGGATTTTGTTTGCCAGAACACCATGTTCTGAGCAATATGGTCAAAAAGGTTCTGCTCTAACAAGATAGAAAGTATGAATGATACTGCTTTATTTTGGCAAAATGAAAAGTATGTTTTTCTTTTCAAATAAATTCCATATTTTCATGATATTTTTAAAAAATAAATTCTCATTATGAATTTTATCATTAGAATTTTATCATAATTAGAATTTATAATTCCTAAAGATTAAATTTTTAATTCTTTTTAAAGCTCTATCCTTCTCTACACCTACAGCCAAAATGAGAATTCACTGCATGATATTTGGGAATCTATTTTACCTATAAAGGAAGAATGTCCACATTCCACTTGTTTCAAGTGAAGAGATAACAGATCAGAATGCCGAGTGTTTTGTGTATTTTTACTCCATCTTTATCTACAGAGAGATTGAGACCATTATTAAACATATTTCAATTTCTTCTTTTCAAAGAAACCTGCACAATTCTAGTAACGTAACTGCATTATACTGACACCATCTGTGCAACCCTAGACAAATACTGCTCTTTCCAGTTTCTCCTCTGCGATGAGGGATTTGGATTGCTAGTGGTTTCCAAGCTTTTCTTTTTTCTTTTTCTTCTTTTTTTAATTTAATAAATCTTTATTGTTCAGATTATTACAATTGTTCTTCTTTTTTTCCTCCATTACTCCCCTCCACCAGGTTCCTACCCCACCCTCTGCCTTTACCCCCTCCCCACTGTCATCTATAGGTGTACGATTTTTGTTCAGTCTCTTCCTGCATCCCCTACTCCCCTTTTCCCCCGAGAATTGTCAGTCGACTCCCTTTCTATGCCCCTGATCCTATTGTATTCACCAGTTGATGCTGCTCATCAGTTTTTTTATTCCCTTGGTTTTTAGATTCACTTGTGGATAGTTACATATTTGTTGTTTATAGTTTTTACCTTTACCTTTTTCTTCTTCTTTTCTTAAAGAATACATACCCTTCATTATTTCATGTAATCCTGGTTTGGTGGTGATGAACTTCTTTAGCTTTTTTTTATTTGTGAAGCTCTTTATCTGGCCTTCAATTCTGAATGATAGCTTTGCTGGGTAGAGTAATCTTGGTTGTAGGTTCTTGCTTTGAATATTTCTTGCCATGCCCATCTGGCCTGCATAGTTTCTGTTGAGAAATCAGCTGACAGTCGTATGCGTGCTCCCTTTTAGGTAACTAACTGTTCTTCTCTTGATGCTTTTAATATTCTCTGTCTTTTGCTTTTGGCATTTTAATTATGATGTGTCCTGGTGTGGTCCTCTTTGGATTCCTTTTGTTTGAGGTTCTGTGTGCTTCCTGGACTTGTAAGTCTATTTCTTTCACCAAGTAGGGGAAGTTTTCTGTCACTATTTCTTCAAATAGATTTTCAGTATCTTGCTCTCTCTCTTCTTCTGGGACCCCCATAATTCTTATGTTGGTACATTTGAAGTTGTCCCAGAGGCTTCTTACACTACCTTCAACTTTTTGTATTCTATTTGCTTTTTGCTTTTCCAGAGAAGTGTTTTTTGCTTCTTGGTATTCCAAATCTTTGACTTGATTCTTGCAATCCTCTAGTTTGCTTTTAGGTTTCTGTATAATATTTTTTATTTCAGTCAGTGTATGCTTAATTTCTAGTTGATCCCTTTTCATATCTTTGAGGGTCTCGTTTAATTTACCGACCTTTTCTAGGAAATTCTTGAAAAACCTTATAACTGTGGTTTTGCACTCCATATCCAATCTTTTGCTTTCCCCCATTTCCTTCAATTGAGGCCTGCCTCTTTGTCTCTGCATTTTAGCTGCTTCCCTGAGTTGATGGAGTGGTTTTGCGTGGTAGGTGTCCTAGCAAGACCCAGTAGCTCAGCCTCCCCAGTTACCTGTGGTGAAACTTCTTGGTGCAGCCCTTTGTGGGCTGTATGTGCAGTCTTGTTGTTAAGCCTTGCTTGTTGTTGGTATCACTGGGGAGAGTTGATCTCCAAGCCAATTGGCTGTGAGGATCAGCAGTGTCCGCTAGGAGGGCTTCTGTGCTCAGTTTGGATGAGGCGGAGTCTCAGGGTGGCACAGACAAGCTTTGGTTTCCCGTCAGCCCCACCCTAAAAGGACCCTGTTCTATGAGTCCCATGGCAATGGCTGCTGGCCACACACACTTTTGAGAGAAGGCTGCTCTCAAGTTTCTTTGCCTGACAGTCCAATTTTTCCCTGATCAGAGCTGAATTTCGGTGCAATCGGGAGGTTTTGTTTTCCTCCCGAATGAGAAAGCTAGCCGCGTCTTCAGCCACCTGCCCTTTCCGCGTTCACAGATCTCCACATCTCCACAGCTCCTGAGGCTCAGAGTCCTTTTCTTTTTTTCTAGTTGTAGATCTTCCACTCAGCCAGCTTTCCAGTGGTTCCGGACGATGTCTGCTCAGTTCTCCAGTTGTAGTTTTAAAATTATTGTGGTAGGCTACATTTAGGCGTTTACCTTATGCCGTCATCTTGGATTCCACTCCAAGCTTTTCTTAACAGCA